ACTGAATTCACGTGTACGCGCCTGACCTCGAAGTCGTTGATCCTCAGTTTTATGACAAGCGCATCATCGTGGGGGTAGTGGACCCCTCACTCATCGTCTTCCGTGAAGAAGATCGGTTCTTCAATCTTCGGTCTTTTTAGAGGGTTCTATTCCTCTCGGGCTGCTTCGCGAACTGACGTCCGGGCCACTACCGAAGTGCACCCTGCTACCACCGAACCTCCCACTATTACATGGATGGTTCCCCGAACTGGCCTCTCTTCCGTAGGCTGTCGTTGCAACGGTTCAGTTGGCCTGCTGCTGGATTCGGGGGCATCCTTTTCGTGCTCCCCTTGCTGACCTGCCTTATTGTTATTATTATTATCATGCTGTACAAAATTCCTCAAGTATCCGCGACGGATGAGTCCCTCTATCTCGTCCTAGAGATTATTACACTGTTCGGTACTATGACCGTGGTCTCTATGGAAACTACAGTACAAATTTTTATTTCTCTCGTTCGGATTCCCCTTTAGGCGAGGTGGCCACTTTACGTATGGGGCGTCTTTGATCGTCATCAAGATTTCGGTCTGCCTCATGTTTAACGGTGTGTAATCCGTCCGAACTACTAAGGGAGCTAAGAATGGCTGGTTCGGCTTCGGCTCCCGGGCCGGGTTTTTTCTATCGACTGGGTTGGAGGGCTCACCTTCCCACTTTCTTTCCTCATTCCCGCTTTCGGTCCGTTGGTTGATTTCTTCCTCTGTTCTCATGAACTTATCCGCGAGCTTGAGGAATTCGGCCACGGTTGCGGGCTAGCTAGCTACCATGTGCCATTTGAACTCCTTGTGCGTTACTCCTCTCTTGGCCGCCGCGAGCTGCACCGCGGGGTCTAATCGCGGTATCTGCAAGCACGCTTCATTGAACCACTTGATGTAGCCCCAGATGGATTCTCCTTCTCTCTGGACTACTTCGAAGATGCTTTCCTCGGTTCTGGGGCACCGCTTGCTGGTGACAAAGTGTGCGGTGAAGACCTGCACG